AAAGGAAAAAAGACTAATACACCAACTACAAGACGAACAAGGGCAATTGCAGCATATGGATGAAGAAAAAAAGCGAATCGTAAGAAATTTCTATCAGGAACTATATGCACAGGAAGAAATCCAATTGGAAAAAGTAAAAGAGTATATAAATAAATCCAACATTCAAGAAATAAAGGAAACTCAAAGAGAACTCTTGAACAGACCAATATCGATGTCAGAATTAATTGAAGCGAAGAAGAAGCAGAACAACAATAAAACACCAGGTCCAGACGGGATCCCGGCGGAATTTTACAAAATTGAATACCAGCCAATAGATGATATTTTATTACAAGTCCTGAATGAAGCAATCTTAGAAGCCAAAATTCCTAAATCATGGATAGAAACAATCATTACATTGATACCTAAAGAAGACTCAGATCTCACCCAAACCAAAAACTACAGACCCATATCACTTCTAAACGCAGATTATAAATTATTTACATCAATCATGGCCCAGAGAATGAAGAGAATTATTGTGAATTATATCCATCCAGACCAAAATGGATTCATTCCAAATAGGCAAATCAATAAGAACACAAGAACAATAATCAATATACTGGAATATTATGAGCAAAAATCGGACGAAAAGATGGCCTTACTCTTCCTTGACGCACAGAAGGCGTTCGACAACCTTAATTGGGGATTGTTAACATTGCAATTAGAAAAAATGGGAACCGGCGATAAATTTTTAAATATGATTAAAACAATATACTCAGACCAAATCGCAAAAATATGGATAAATGGAGAGACAACAGACCAATTTAAAATATCCAAGGGAGTGAGACAAGGATGTCCCCTCTCTCCTATATTATATATATTAGCATTGGAACCACTGTTGAATGAAATTAGGAATGACAATGAAATAAAAGGATTAAGAACAAAAAACCAGGAGTATAAATTACAAGCATTCGCGGACGACGTAGTATTTATTTTAGAACGACCAAAACAATCAGGACTGAATTTACTAAGGCAGATAGAACAATATGGCGAAGTGGCAGGATTGAAAATTAATAGACAAAAAACAAAACTACTAACTAAAAATTTGACAAAAACCCAGGAGAAAGAATTGGAAGAGACATTAGGAATACAAACAACAACAAAAATAAAATACCTAGGAATCTGGCTCACCAATAAGGTATCATCCCTTAAAGAAGACAATTATATTAAATTGGCCAAACAAATTCAGAAGGATTTAGAGGCATGGAGTAAATTGAAACTATCACTACTAGGCAAAATTGCTTCAATTAAAATGACAATTCTACCAAAAATATTATATCTATTTAGAACAATACCGATAAACCCAGGAAAATCATATTTCAAAGACCTTGATAAAATGACATTAAAGTATATATGGCAAGGAAAAAGAGCCAGGATTAAACTGAAACACCTGCAGGACACCAAGGAAAGGGGTGGCCTGGGATTACCAGATTGGCAAACTTATTACACTGCAACAGCTTTAACTTGGATTAAGGATTGGATGACACTCGAAGATAAACGAACATTAGCACTAGAAGGATTTGACTTGTCAAAAGGCTGGCACACATTTTTTATGGGAGGAAAAGCCCAGACAACATGAACACTTCAGGAGACACTATATCAGAGGAGCATTGGCAAAAATTTGGACTGAAACAAGGAGAAAACACTACAACAAAATCCCAAGATGGCTATCAACCATGGAGGCCCAAATTTACCCGAACACAATGGATATAGACAAGATGAAAACCTATGACGAATTGTTGAACACAGAGGGAGATATGAAAACAAGAGAGGAATTGAGACAACAGGGCACGGACATTGATTGGCGGCCGTATTTACAGATAAAATCAAGATATAAAAGTGATATGGAAAAATTTGGAATTCAAAAAGAAAGAAATGAATTAGATAAAATTATAATGCAATCAGATGATAAATTAATAACTAAAATATATAATTATCTGCTAAAATACAAATTGGAAGAAGAAGTGGTGAAGGAAAATATGATTATTTGGGCTAAAAATTTTGGATATAATATTAACTTAGAAAATTGGGAAAAAATGTGGAAAGTAAATACTAAGCTGACAATGTCTGTGCCCTACAAAGAAAATACATACAAGATGTTTTATAGGTGGCATCTCCCCCCTCCACGGTTGGCAAGGATGTTTCCCAATACCAATCAGAATTGTTGGAAGTGTAAAATACAGAAGGGGACCTACTACCACATGTGGTGGTCATGCCCAAAAGTCAAAAAATTTTGGAAAACAATTCAAAGTCAGCTGGAAGAAATCACCACCCAAAAAGTGCCCCTCAGACCGGAAACATACCTATTAGGAATACTGACAAAGGACTATAAAAAAGAGACACAATACTTGATAATACATATCCTAACCGCAGCTAGAATCATTTTCGCACAAATGTGGAAATTGGAAGATACGCCACCAGAAGAAAAAATAATACAAAAAACAATGGAATGTGCAGAAATGGATAAACTGACCAAAGAAATACAGGGAAAAGAAGATTCAGACTATTACTTAATTTGGCAAAAATGGTACAACTGGTTAGATAAAAAGAACACGAAATAAGGGAATACCACCCAATGATACAAAAATAAGGAAATAAAATGAAATATCGTTATATAAACATTGATACATGATGAAAGATAATACATACAGATATATAGATATATAATTACCGAAGTAGCTCTATTTTCAAAGTTCAAGCTCTATGACTTGATTTCACTGTATAGTTAGTTTATGTTTAGTTTGTTTAAACGTCAATGTCTGTATGTGTATGTTTGTCTATAATAAAAAATTAAAAAAAAACAAAAAACAAAATTATCAAAGTCAATTTCAATACAACTTCATTTTGTTAAAATTTTGAAACACAATTTTATCAATATCTTAATTGTTTACATCTTTTAAAAATTTAAAACAGCTAAGAAAAACAAAAAACAAACTTAAACATAAAATTCTAACACTTTCATCTAAACAAATCTAGTATATCAGTACAATTTTAACTTCAAATTAAATTTTAGCTCATTATCTCTATATCTCTATCTCATCAATATCCAAATACTTATTAACAATATTCTAGTCTTTTATTCTAATTATATACCTTACAATTTTATCACCAAAATTATCAAGTTCAATTTCAATACAGCTCCATTTTGTTAAAATTTTAAAACACAATTTTATCAATATCTTAATTATTTGACCCTTTTTATCAAATCAAAATATCTTGAACTTTCCAATTTAATATGCCACATATAACACAGTTTTATCACAAGAACATATTGTTTATTCTTCACCAAATTATCAACTCTTTTGAGATTATTCCCAATATTGTCTCCCCCCAATCTCCCAACATTATTAGCTAATTTCCAGCATATTGTATTTGACTAGTTTCTAGCATGAACTTCTCCCAGACTCCCTCCATTGTTTGGCTGATTTCCAGAATATTTTGTTTGGCTAATTTCTAGCATAATCTCCTCCAGAACTCCTTCCATTGTTTGGCTGATTTCCAGCATATTTTTCTCCAACTCTCCTCCTATTGCTTGGCTGATTTCCAGCATATTTTATTTGGCTAGTTTCTAGCATAATCTCCTCCAGAGCTCCTTCCATTGTTTGGCTGATTTACAGCATATTTTTCTCCAACTCTCCTCCTATAGCTTGGCTGATTTCCAGCATTTTATTCGCTGATTTCCAGCATTTTCTATTTGGCTGATTTCCAGCAAAACCACAATTTTAAACAGTAATTTTGGAAAGAAGAAAATTACAGGCATCAATGTAGGCTTATCCGTTGCAATGATAGGGTTGCATAAGTCCTTTTTTCTTTTTTTAAAAAAGGCAAATGTTTCTGACTTCTTTTTTCTTCTGAGAAGGATGAGTTGTTCACCTTCCTCCTAACTGCTAATCTCTAATTCAATAATTTCATTCTGCCATTACTGGTGACAACTATATCCTAAATAAGTGGATAAAAAGAGTACTATACCACAATAAGAGAGTGTGGCAAAACATCCCTCTAAATGTAAAGGTTTATATCCCTCAGAGGACTTCCTCAGTTTCATGGACTAAAAGTGAAGCAAAGATTATAAACAAGATGTTACACAGTACTGATTAAAATGATCCAAAGTGCTATAAATATTTTAAGAAGCCAGGTGTATATTTGGATTGCTTTCTTAAAGATTGCATAGGACTTATGAAAAAGTATTTCAGGTTTTGCTCCATAGCTTAGGTTAAAGTTCTAACCTGAGTCTTCAGAGAGGGGTGGCATACAAATTGAATAAATAAATAAATAAATAAATAAATAAATAAATAAATAAATAAATAAATAAACAAATAAACAAACAAATAAATAAATAAATAAATTTCCTTGCAAACCTAATCATGTAATTTGTCATTCATAAAACATTTAATTATGTAATGTACCGTAAATGCTGTTTTGGAGGTGTTTTATCTTATTCTATGCTGTAGACATACTCATGAAATAGAACAAATCATTACAAAACAAGGCAATATTATTATGATCATTCCTTAAAGGGCCAGAACAAGAAGATGAAAGAAGGAATTAGGAAAATGTTTCTCTGATTGTTATCAATATCAATTTGATACTCCTCAAATAATCCGGACATCAATGTGGCTGGACTAAATAGATTTAATTGACAAATGTCCTTAGTTTGTCCAAGTAATATTTTCAGTCAACAGAATCTCAAAAGAATTATTATTCTAAAAAAATCTTGGCTGATATTACAAGAGACAAAGGTTTACACTGGAGATGTACTTTGAGCAATCTTGAAATCAACACAACAGTTGAAAAGCTAGTGGAAGAAATAAATGTTCTCTACTAGGTTTCCTAAAAAAAATGGGAATTATAAAAAAGATTACTTACTGATTTGGTTTTAATACCTGCTGTCCAATTTAGAATATAACTAAATTAAGAAACCATTATGTATGATTTCATTTATTCTTTTCTTTTTCCTTATATAGGAGGTACATGCCAGAGCCCTGCTCTTCCAGCCCTGGTACGACCTTCAATCCCCTCCTTGCCGCCATCATTGGATCTCAAACCCTTTCTTCCATTCCCACTGGACACTTCTGCAGCTGTCAATCTCTTCCCCAACTTTAATGCTGTAAGTACCATAGTGAAGTTTTAGTTCCATGTTGTATACTTCTTTTTAATTATTTGGCATGCCAAATAATTATTAATTATTTGGCAAGCCAAAGAATATCTTCATACAAATGTGTACACAGATAGACACAAACATGTGCATGTACACACCGGGGTGAAATGCTCCCGGATCGGACCTGATTGCCTGATCCAGTAGCGATGGCAGTGGGTGGTTTGGAGAACTGGTAGCAAAAATCCCTGCGCCCCCCGCCCCATGCCCAGCTGAGCCACGCGATCATCAGTGGCTGGTTTTTTTTTTACTTTTAAAGCATTTTTTCTACAACTTCTTCAGCCGAAAAAATGCTTTTAAAAGTTTTTTAAAAAAAGCCTCTGATGATCCGCGGCTCAGCTGGGATCGTCAGAGGCTTTTCAAAGCATTTTTTCTGCAACCCCTTCGGCTGAAGAGGTTGTAGGAAAAAAAATGTCTTTAAAAGCCTCTGGCAATCCCAGCTGACTTGCCTGATTGTCAGAGGCTTCTAAAAGCATTTTTTTCTGCAACCTCTTAAGGTTGTAGAAAAAATGCTTTTAAAAGTAAAAAAAAAAAAAAGTTGGCCACACCCATGCAGTCACATTACTCCCCCCCTCCCACCAAGCGACGCCCACAGAACTGTTAGTAACAAATTTTAGATTTCACCCCTGGTACACACACAAAATCAGCAATTAGTCTATCATGATGTTATCCAGTTTGGATAATAAAACAGTCTGCAAAAAGCAACCAAGCTCAGAGAGCACCAGTAACCCCTTATTTCAACCCTGAGCTACAAATATTCTCTTTAAGGTAATTATCTTATAATTTGTTTATGTCAAATTAGTTATTGGATTAATTATAACTAATGAAAGAACATCAGATCTATTATTTTGAAGTAGTTAATTATAAATTAATATTTATCTGCTTTTTCCATGGGTTCTAAATAAAAACTCAAAATAAGTATTTAAATTATTTATAGTAACATAAACTAAACTGATAAATTTTTCAGTACCATAGTAGTATGGAAACTAATAATGTTGAATCCCTTTTAACAAGAATACTAAATAGGACTGAGCTTTCCCATGAATCACTGTATTTGTTTATTATATTAAACTGCCCAGTAGCTGCATTTCTTTGGTTTAATTAAGTCTATAGAACTTAATGATGACAAAACATCACATCAGAATCACTAACTAGAATGACAAGTAGCAAATTTACCAGGAACAACAGGTAAAACATAAAAAGCACTAAAAAGAGTTACAGAAGTACTTGGAGTTTTTTTTAAAGAAAAACCTCTACTTAATCCCTGACACTTCTTCCCAGAAGAATATTATGGGTGCTAGGCACTTCTCCCCGATGAAGGTATTCCACAGATAGAATAGAAGAATATAGGAAAAACCACATATGTTAAACTCCTCAATAAAAGAAGAAATCTTGATTTAGAATACAGTCATGCCTTCTGAATGTGGGGAAGATAGAACGAACTAGAACGTGTTCCTCATACATGGAGAAATTACATGAACTTCCTTTCCACTCCTAAAGCACATAAGGTGTTAACCTTCTTTTCAAGGGAAAATGCTACAGACATATTGGAAAGATACAAGATGTAAAGATATAAAGACGTAAGTAGAATTACTTAACATTTTGAAATGGAACTCAGATTGTAGAAATTTTCCTTATGTAGGTATATACTGTACTTCTAACAAATGAAATAAATTTCCATTTATTTACCCTGTTACAAGTAGTCCGAGTTTAGTGACTGCAATTGGGACTGGCAACCTGGACGTTGAATGAAGCAGTTGCTAAGTGAAATGTCATGATTTTACTTTGCTTTAAACCACCTGCAGTGGTTTAAATCCAAGGACTGGTTGCATAGTTAATTTATGTTGTTTTCCAAAACACATCCAAATTATTAATGAATGTGTCAGTTGCTAAATGAGGACTGTATATCAAGAAAATCAGCACTTAGAAACATTATTCTGCCAATTGCCCTTTATTATAGTGCTGGTGTCTATTGAAATTCTGAAGGGTTCTTTGACCACAGATGCTGGTGTACAGTAGTTCTGAGGAGCTGACATTTTTTTTATGATTCTCTGACTGCAACACAAAGGATCTATACTGTAGCATAAATATTATAAAAGACACACAGAGACATAGCAACATGTCTTAAGGATCTGGAATGTCTTACGAACATGGAAACTTAAGTTGCACTTGTATTAATATTTATTTAGGATGAAATGCTATTGAAGTCATTGAATTTATAACATTAAACTGAAATTTTGTGTACACATAGCTAGGAGTTAAGTCTGCTGAATTCAGCTGAGACTTGTTTATGAATATTCATCTTTATCTTATTATCTTCTTAACTAGTTGTTCCATATCTTACCAGATGGGTCCTGTTAGGGAAAGAGGCACAGAAATAAAACAAAGCTGTGTAATTGCAAAACACATATGTTCCATATAGCTGTTTTCATACTGTGGAAAAAAATATAACTTGGGCAGCTCTTACATTCATTTCATGAATACCCATTGTCTGCTTTCTTCTATTTGAGTTTAATTAAGAAGCACAATTAACTATGTAAATATAATTTGTATAGTTAACATATGCAGTTTTGACATTATTTTGACTTTTAAGAGTTTATAAATACTCTCCTTCTGTTTTTTTCCTACTGTCTGGATAACAAACAAATTTATATTGAGAAGAAAAAAACCCAGAATCATTACAAATGTTGAACCTTAAATTTTCAAGGATAGGTTTAAGCTTTATACATTTTGAGATACAGGTAGTCCTCAATTTACAACTACAATTGAGCCCAAAGTTTCCATTGTTAAGCAAGAGAGTAGTTAAATAAGTTATGTCCCATTTTACAACCCTTTTCGACAAGATTGTAAAGTTGTAAAGCATTTTTAAGCAAATCATTGGTGTTGTTAAGTCAATCATGTGTTTGTTAAGCAGATCTGGCTTCCCCCATTGACTTTTCTTGTCTGGAGCTCCCTAAGAAAGTTGCAGAGGAAAACCCTGGGATCCTGAAATTCTGCAACCCTGGTAATATATGCTGGTTGCCAAGCACCTGAGGTCTGATCACGTGACATTAGGAATGCTGCAAAGGTCATAAGTGTGAAAACTGATCATAAATTATTTTTTTCAGTGCTTTTGTAACTTTTAACAGTGATTAAACAAATGGTTGTAGGTCAAGAACTACCTGTATGCTTCTCATAACTATATGTAATATTCTGCCTTTTAAAAAAAATATCCAAGCTTTGAATCATTTTCATATTATGCATGGTAAAATGAAATAAAAGAGCAGACAGGAGGTACAATAACAGTATACAAAATTGGCATCCTGTGAGTCATTAATTTAAAAATGGCATTTAAAATAGAACTCGATTTTTGGTGATGCTATTCCCCTGCTTCATATCTAGTTCATGCTCATTCCAATGCAGGTTTAATGCTAATGAATTTTGATGTACTAGAATAAAATAAAATAGCAATAATGAAAGGGAAAATATATAATGCCATAGTTTATAGAGTGGGAAAACAAAATGTAGAAAACTGTAAGACATCAAAGATGATATTTTGGATATCTCTACTTTTTCCATTTTTTCCATAATTTATTGTCTATATTTTTCTTATATCATGGAGACATTACAAAATAATTACCATTCATCCTTCTCTGCAACAGCTGGGTGTATGAAAAATATAAATTTCATATTAAATTATTACTGCATGAGATGTCTTTCCTTTTGTAGCATGCAGTAATAATTTAATATGAAATTTCTATTTTTTGTACACCCAAATGTGGCCATCCTTCCACATTAGTGCTGTGATCTGAATCCATCCATATATTAGCAAATCATGAAAGCAAGTTTTTAATTGTAATTCTCAAATCATATTTTCTGCATTTCAGATTTTCTATTATACACACACACACACACACATGCATACATACATACAGTTATCTTTCCATTATAGTCATTGGTTTTGAACATTTATTTTTTATTTGGACTTCTATTCTCTAGCCACTTTTATAGTCTACTCCAAATTTTATAATAGTCTGACTCTTCTCTTTCTTTTAATTCCATATTCATCCTGTCCATTTCAGCACATTCAAGTATCTTCCTAATTACCATTTCATCTGAGGGGGTAGTATTTTGTTGCCAGTTTTGTGCGAAAACAATCCTAGCAGCAGGCTTATGGTACTGGGGGACTTCAATTTGCCGTCACTTGGCGAATTCTCAGATGCAGCTCAGGTGTTCATGGCTTCCATGACAACCATGGACCTGACCCAAGTAGTTCAAGGTCCGACTCATGGGGGGGGACACACTTGACCTGGTGTTTCTCTCGGGGCAGTGGAGATATGATCTGGAATTAAGGGGTATAGATGCTTCTCCCTTGTCGTGGTCAGATCATTTCCTGCTGAGGTTAGACTTTAGTCGATAACCAAATAGGGATCTTCGTATAATGATTTTTTTTTAATTTTTTCCCAGTTACCTAGCAGAGCATCTCTTAATAGATGCCTCTGGAAATATGAATGGGATTTATTTTTGCCCTCCTGGAGAAAAGCATGCCAGCCAAGTTGGAGATCGTGGCCTTCTATCGTTAGTATTCTTTTATTTTTCAATTGGACCCAATCCTTGAGCCACGTCATGGCTGCGGCTTGATAATAAAGTTCCCAGTCTGGGGGGAGGGGGCAAATCCTCCTCTATTTCTGCTGTCCTGTAGGAGTTTGACTTTTATGCAGGCTTTTTTCTCTGACCAGATCAATTTTGATACCATTTTGTTTAATTGTTCAAAAAAAAAATTTGGCTAATTTTATTGGAATTGTTTGAAAAAGATACAATAATTTAGGTAATATATTTATTTTGATTGTTGAATTGTTGAAATTCTGCCAGTTAATATCTGTAATTTAGTCCAATTATCCAAGTCCTTTTCTATTTGTTTTAATAATCTGTTATAATTATTTTCTTTTATTGTGGTGCATTTTGCCGTTAACCATATTCCCAAATATCTAATTTTTTTTGCCCTCGAAATCCCCAATTTCTCCTCCAGTTCTTCAATTTGTCTATTAGTAAGATTCTTAGTTAACATTTTTGTTTTCTCCTTATTTATTTTAAGCCCTGCTACTTTACCAAATTGCATTATTTCTTGTAATAATATTTGCCCACTTTCTAAAGGGTCTTCTATAATAAATGCCAGATCATCCACAAAGATGATCTGACGGGGAGAGATTCCCCTCTTCCCGTCACCTCCAGAATATCTCCTATCTCACACAGACCCCTCCAGGGTCCGTCTTCGCCTTTATCTGGTTTCCCAACGTGAAAAATCCAGCAAAGAAGAATGAGTGCCATTCCTCCATGTCGCACCACCATGACGTCACCCCAGAAGTCTGCATTTCAGATTTTCAAAAGCTCATCCTGACATTTTGCCACTTTGTTTTCATAAGCTATAAAAAATCAGGTTGATTGCAATGACACAGAATGTTTAATAGATAAATACATTTTGTTTAACAGAATGGACAATTTGAAAAAGAATTGTATAAAGCATCTCAACTATTTACTTTTTTAAATTTTTAAATCAATCTTTACTCCTGACAATTCCCTGGACTAATCTTTTTGAGTAAGATGTTTGGAAGTTGTTTGCTCCTCTCTCCTCTCTCTTGAGGGCTGCAAGAATGACTAATCCAAGGTCACCCAGTTGGCTTCAAGCCTGAGGTAGGACTAGGTCTCACAATTGCTTGATTTCTAGCCTAATGTCTTTTAACCACTATACAATCTAGTTCTCCATTATTAATATGCTATTTTATACTTGGTATCTTGAAGAAAGGTAGAATGTAAATGTATAAATAGATAGACAGATAAATACAACTTTCAGTTTTCTGTGTTTTTCCTTTTCCAATACATCAAAATGAATAGACCAATTAATTTTTTCATTACTCAACTATAGAGCCACCTTCCCATAGTCAGTTTTTCTTACAGTGTTTTATCAAACAGTTCCCTTAGAATTAATAGAAGACATTAAGGTAAACAATAACTTTAATACAAACAATAAATTATGATTTGTAATTCTTGAGAGAAAGAATCATAGGGAGACACAAATCTTCAAGAGTTCAAGCTTGTGCAAATCCATGTGCAGCTGTACAAGCACATTCACTTCATTCTACAAAACAGTTTGGTCATGGATTCAGAATATTATTTGTTCAATTCTAACATGGTTTATGAATAACAACCTCAAATCTCACATTATATGGCAAATAGCACATAGACACAAGAAAGTAAGATGCAATAAATACCAATGACATTTTACATTGTAGCCTAGTTTTTCTTTTCATGATAATTATGTTGAAATCTGGGTTTGTACCCAATACATTTATACTATGTTATGTCATTCCTAGATCCCTGGAAATTCCATTTTCAATGTATGCTTCATGTTTCCATTAACATATAGTTTTATTCTAAGCAGTAAAGTTTTCCTACAATCTTTGCTGAGAAAATAATGACTAATATTACTCAGTAGCCTGTGTTCCAAATGCTTTGTTTATTCTGTTGAAATATTGAAATATTTATATCATCTACCACATGTTATTTTGATTTTAGGATAGCATGTACTAAAGCAGAACAATAA